CTGTTGAAACTAGTTGTATCAGAGTAATGCAATGCGCTATTTCGATGAAACTCAGGTAGGTATCTACTAACAACATTAGCTACGTTGCGGAAAACTTCACGTCACCGATTTCACATCAGTCGAATTTTATCCACTCTCGGCGTTATTCACGCCCTACTCCTTGTTAGCTTACGGTACGTGCATTACACAGTACATTAAAGGTTATTTTTCATTCATATGATGTATCATATGTCAGTTTCATTCACATGATGCATGCACTCCAATTAGGTTTCAACATTTAAATGTTAATATAGAGTAACATAAAATACAGAGTACGAGAAAATAGTTAAATAAAAGTGTTCCCTTGAATCTTCGATTTTCCTTATGAAATTATCAAAGGATGACTTAACAATAGCTTCTTTTTTCTTTTTTAATATAAATCATGATTATATTCTACAACGCACACAAGCTCTACAAAGTAACTATTACAGTGTCTGAATGCAAAAACGCAGAACGTCAATGTTTAAGGGTGAACAAAGCAAGATCGAGGCAAGCGCACGCGTGCACCGCGTCGGCTATCTGTTTTGAGAAAAACCACTGTTAGGGTGACGCGCGCGTGAAGTAATTTTTATAACTCAACTTTTTCCCTTTTTAGCGTAATTTTCATAAGTTCGATTTGATATAAGTCTGCGTCTGTCCGTATTCTACTGGGTAGCGACGAACACATGGAACCTCACTGCTAAACGTACACCCACCATGGAGAAACAAAAGTGGCCCGGTCCACTTAGCTACTTCCGCAACAACGAGATGGGGATTCGTTTGTAGATGCACGTCTAAAGTTTTCGACAAAACAGGCATTGAATGGTGATGGGGTGAGGAGAGATTTGACAGAAACGGCGTTGCTAAATGCGGCCATAGCGAGTCATACACAGAAAAAAGCATCGCAAACCAAAACAGCGTAGAACCACAGAATCGAGGTGCGTTACACCGATGATGAAAATTTAAACGGGGAAGGGAGGGACAGTAGCGGGTACCCACGGCGAACTTTCTCGAAAGTCCGAGTACAAAGATCAACCATATCGGTCACCGCCACGATCCCTCCACCTCCGCTTGAGCTGTAGTTCGGCTCATTCTGCTTCGCAACATGGAAACGCGGTCGTTCGCTACACAAATGCAGCACACGAACACCGGTGTAACGAACGGTTTCGAACTTGTCTACCGGTTAAACCTCATCTTGATCTAGTCAGCGAGGGGGAAGGTTAAAGCGTACTGTAGCCGTAAAGCGAACATACACAATATGGCAGTATGTCTGGCACGATCACACCAGAACACCATGCTAGCTGTAATGGTCGCACGACTGAACAGGGGAGCGAACTACTTGTTCGACAGAGTTAGCAGTTACAACGAAAAATTCACACCGTGCATGCGATGTGAAGCAGGCACATTTAAAGTGCATTTAAAGCTACTTATGCATTCCAGTCCGTTGTCGCCTGGAAAGCAAATCCGACTAGATCGTTTGCTCCTAAGCTTTCAATCTCATCCGTGAGGACTTGAATGTAGAAGCATAACAACAATAAACACACCATGTGGATGAAGGAATTACGGTAAATCTATCGTCGATAAAAAATATGTAAATGCACTGAACTGTGAAAGTTGCTTCATAAAGCTGAACCGAGCAAAAGTTGAACACCTGAAGCAACCTAATGTGCAGCTTAAAACGATGACAGATACAAACAGTCAACGCGTAACAATAATGGAGGAATGGAGTGATTCACCGATATTTCAATGTTCGTTGCCGTCTTCGTATATTTGGTAAGATGAAAAATTGCTCATTAAAGTGCAAGCGAAAACATAGTCATCAGCTGACATCGTACGTTCAGAGGACAAACGATACGATGTCATTCAGCTTTCAATCGGGATCAGTATAGATAATGTCCCCCCCCAGAATGTGCCCCATACAGAAGCGACATAACAGACACTAGGATAACTGTCAATATGGGGAGAAACATTAAATTTTCGGTAGAAAAAAAACGCGGCGAAGCAGGTGTCCCTAAATGTCCCGTACAAGATGAAGAAATATGGGTCTCGCTTTCTCGTGAAAGTGGTCAACAGAAGTTCCGCAAGGACGGGCAATGATGGCGAGATCTCGAAGTGCCGTAGTTGAAAAAGATGGCAGCGAAGGGGCACTGGAAGATACTGTACAGCCAGGTGAATATCATCGCCAAAAGTATAAAACTAAAGCATTCGCCAGCCTGTTACACGGCAAGTCAAATGAGACGCTGCAAGAAGTTGGTGGCTTCGGAAACGATGGGCTAAGCACTTCGCAGAGCTGCTTAACAGGCGCAGCCCTGCGGTAGAACTTCAGGTGCAAGAGAGCTGAATGTAAACAGCGCCCCTCCCCAACCTATGGAAGAAATTCGAAAAGCGATAAGTCTTTCTCGAAGTTCTGGACTTTGATAGCATTTTGCGCAAGTTGGTGACTTCCAAAGACGGTAAAAGCCGTGTGATCGTCCTGACTGCACAAACTATCGAGGAATCACCCTTCGATTTGTGACCACCAGTGAGGTTCGTCAAAGCGAGCTGCAACATCCTTTGTTGTTTACCATCATGGCGGACTAAGTTATATGAGACAGCGTCGTCCCAAATTACATCGACTGACAGACCGCAAGTCAGCGACGCCGCTCCAGAAGTCCTCCAACCGCGTTCCTAACTGGTTTTCGGTATGCCGATGACATCGTGCTGCTGAGAGACTCCGCAAGTGGCTCACTGATACTCGATGAAAGCGTGTGGAATACTGTTATGGGAGTGAGGCAACAGGTCAACACCAAGAAAGCGACAAATGGAGGGAGCCCGTTGCAACCATCAGCCCCAGGATACTACGGTTTTACGAAGGGCGAAGAGGGCCACTTCAGCTATCTCAAAACTGTGTTGACTAACGATGGCGACATTGCTCTTGAAATGAATCGGCATATTAGGTGGCGTCAGTGAATTATAGCAAGAAACTTTTTGCACACGGAAGGATCGAACTACAAAAAGGAAACGAACATCACCATTCTGACAAAAGCAGTATTCATCGTGTTCATGTACAGTCTCGGCAGATCTATCGCTCGGAAGCATCGCGAAAACAGTTTCTAACTACGTAATGTGCGAAATATCGCCAAAGCGCGATGATACCACTTTGTCATGACAAAGCAGGTGCTGACAACCACCGGTATAGGTAAACCGTCAGACCAATCAGAGACCGGTATCTGGCTTGGTTTCATCAAATTGCTCATAGAGGGATCGGAAAAACGGTCAAAACTTTTTTCGGTTGGGAACCGTGCAAAGGTCGCAGACGCGTTGAAGGGCAGTACAATAAAGGTGGAAATACCCCGCCGATGCAGACCTACTTGCGAAAAGGAATATGACCTGCGGCGCAGCAGTAAACGTTATACAGTATCAAATTGAAATACGATTTCTAACCGTCTGACACCATCTGGGTACTCCGCGTTGAAGCTCTGTTAATCTAAGATGATGATGACGAAGCAAAAACAACATTTCCGCTACCCCGGAGTTGTGTTAACAGGTGACTGAAAATGAGAGGAAGAGATCGAACCGGGAATATGAATGTCCAGCGGCGTTCTGTGTGAACTACTCCGAACCGTTATGACTACATCAGAGTTCAGTCAGAAGACCAAGATGTCTGGGTTCAAGTCGATCTTCATCGCCATGGTCACCTACGACAATGCGTCGTGGGTCATGACTAAAGACTTCGATTCCGGGTACAAGCGACTGAAATGAGTTCTGGGACGAATGGCTGGGCTCACGTGTCTGCACAACGCCTGGCGATTAAGTTTTGGTGTACAGCCGCTTTCTCCACACTGAGGAGTCACAGTGTGACGACGCGACGCTCTGCACATCTGCTCGGAACGAGAGGCGAAACAGCACTACTTGTTCAGCTGAGCGAAAGAAAAAACCCTGGGGACAGCCTAAAAATGACCTGGGACAAGTACTTCGTCGAATCGTTTAAAATCTCGGGTTATACTCTGCGGCAGCTTGGACGCTTTCACGGGATCAGGAACGTTGAAGACTAAGCGACGTGACGTTACATGATAAGAAGTCATCGAAACTGACTGACTGGCTCGCTGAAAAGCTCTCCCATCGGTCCCGATTATTACTGCTCGATAGCGGACTCACTACCGTCTAAGGACTCACTACCAGCTTTCTCAGCAATAATAACGACTGAAAAGTACAAACTTTACCGCAGTTCCGCCTGTAATGCGATACTCTACGTTGATTAGTGCCCCTCTCCCGCGACGAAAACGCTAAGACAGCGTTAAGGAGAAACAGCATTATATACAACGTATACGCTGCCAAAGAGAACGCGATGCTGGCGTCGAAAGACTCGCAGCAACAGAACAGGTCAGTGCTCTAAAACGATCAGTCAGCAACAGATTACGATGCTCTGAAACGTTGTGTGCCCTTGTTTGTCAGTTAGGCTGATCTGCTGAAGTGTACTATTGCAGGCGCACGAAATAACTACGCCAAAAGTCGCCGTCAATAAATTACGTCCATGGAGCAAAAAAATATGGCGTTCGGATGCATCTGATTCCTTCACGAAAAGTTTTAGAGGTCTGTCCTCCGAATAAAAATGTTAACGACGTTTACTATGTTACTATCAGATTTTCCGCCAGAGGAGGCACCACTTTCTGATGCGCAGGAGAAATCGAGGCAGAAAATACTGTTAACCCTTAAAATTCTTGTTCTGAACAAAGTAACTGTTATGTGGCCGGGACACTAACGGTTTAAGTGCAAGATATTTTCACGACTGGACCTTATCTTGCGTCCAAAACAGTTCAATCAAAACAACAACAATAATTCACAATTTTTCGATAATTAATAACGAGCTGCTACTCAAAAATTCATCACAAAACAGTAATTCTGTTCGGATTTCAGACCGTAAGCTCTCAGATCGATATCGTTCCCATGAAGCTTTAATTGACCTGCCACAATGGTACTGCGCCGTCTGTCTCCTTTCAGAACCGGCAGCGGCTCCACTGCTGACTGGTAACTTCGTCGTGTTTTTCTCGACATTTTTCCTGCGTTCGAATTGATCTTAAGCCTGATGCTCACCTATGACCATACGTCGTGAACCGTGACTGACAATTTTTAATTCTGGATGCAAGCGGCTGAAATTGGCTCTTTGAAATGAGTCGCAGGCCTTAAGCCTCCTCTTGGTCCGGAGAACAGAAATCTGAGAAGACCACGGTGCAAATCCGCTGATTTTTTCAGGCTGAGAAGTCGCAGGTGCGATGTTTGGGGCAGGTATTGTGAATGTTTTCAGAAAGGAACTCGAAACAGATACTTCTTGCCAAACCAAGCGGTGGAAGACCCCAGGGACAAACGATAATACCATGGGGCAAGTAAATCGAAGGACACTGCTCCAGACTCAGATTAGATCTTCTGCCGAAGCTCAAACGTGGCACAGAAACAAAAACGTTGGAAACAATGCCTGACAAGTCTGCATATGCGACCCGAAAGGACTGAAAAGGCAAAAAGGAAAGATTGTTACCGCTGGAATGTCAGTCTTTCTTCCCTTTCATGAGTGGGCCATTATGGAACTCTTCTTTTGAAGGGTTAAATTGATTTCGCGTGCTGATCTCCGTTTCCATGATATCAACCTGGAATACCTTATTTTAAAAAGTAGAGTCTACAACAATGTGGCGATGTGGCAAGCGTAGCGCGCAGACCTCTCTTCCCTCCCCACAGAGTGATACTCATTTTTAAACTACGGAAGGAAGAAAAGCGAGAGACCCAGGCCAGGGCTTGAACTTTGGACCTATCGGTTCTAATACCGATTGAGCAACCCTGGTCAGAAGGATAAGTGGTTATCGAAACTGTCTAAGTGAATGAACAGTAACTGTGTAGAAAGATTTCTTCATCGCCACAATCTTCAAAGAACTTACTCAGCATATGTGCTATATTAAACAAATAGCTGATGTTTCGGCTAGACCTGGATCCATTTGCAGGGGACAGCGTATAACAAAAGCGGCAAAAAACA